GGGTCAGCTGAGTTTCAATCCTGCTTGGCCTGTCATCCCTTGGGTGGCTTCGGGCAAGTTCTCAGCTCCCTGCACTCCATTGTCACATTAGTCAAATGGAGTCAACACCTGTTTCCACAGACTGTTATGTGGTGGCAAATGACACCAAACAGTATGGGCTAATGAGCACCCTGTACTCTCGAGCTGTGTGACTCGGGCTGGCTATTTAAACTCCGTGTCTCCGCTTCCTCAGTTGTAAAACAGGGATGAAAATAGAATGCACAGGCTGGGAGTTAGGAAAACAATTCGTGAAAACAGTGCCTGGCGTGCGGATATGTAACGGCATGGATCAACAGCTGTTGTCGCTCCTTGCTGTATGCCAACCCTGAGCTAAATGCTCTGCACGTTCTATTTAGTCCTGCAGCATCGGCGAGGTGTAGGCATGGTTGTCATGCCCATTTTGCAGATGTGGAAACTGAGGCTCAGAGAGGTGAAGTCACCTGTCTTAGTTCATGCAGAAGTTCAGAGGCCACAGCCAGGATTCTGGCCCTGCCTGCTTCCCATGTGCTCATATGCCCGGGCTGGAAAGACCTGGTAGTGTGTTGGGGGGGAGGGGTCCCTATTCCCCAGCTCTCAGGTGAGCTGGGAGTCTGACAGGTTTAAGTAGGACAGAAGGGAGAGAGGCAAACCTGCTTTACAGGTGGTATAAAGCCTGGGGTGTGATAGTCTGTCCTCTAAGGGCTTTTCCTGCCACACTGCAGGCAGTGGCTCTCACCATGTACCCTGGTGGCTCCTCCAGCTCTACCGACAGCTGTGCCCCATCCTGTCACCAGCAGCTGGCTCGGAGGGAGGGTCTATGATGGGGCTGCTTTCAGGGTCCCGTGGAGGGAGTGTGGGGTGTCTGGGCACCGGAAAGCCAGCAGCAGGCTCTGTCCTGCCCCCCAGGTCCAGCTACTGCTATCTGTCTTTCCAGAATATGCCCCCTTCCTCCCCTCTTTCCCACCTGGCATCCTGACAAGACAGGACAGCCACTGGGGTTCTGTGTGACTTAAGGGAAAAACCCATCATAGCCAGCAGGGCTTGTGTGCCAGGGAAAATTCTTGGCCCGTTCTTGGGTGAGCGAGCATCCTGGGTGGGCAGGGAGAGCCTTGTTCAGGGCCAGGCCAGCTCCCTTGGTTAGTTCCATCTGCAGGGTGGCGGACTGGGCACTGATTTCTTCTCGGGACTTCCTCCTTCCACACCGGGGGCCGTGGCGTCTCTGGAGGAGAAAGGTCATCTCCAGATGACCTTGGTAAAGGTGGTAGAGTGCCTTATGGTAGGTGAGCAGATCAGTGAGAAGGCAGGTGTGTGTGGGACGAATGAACAGGAGATTGAGGAAGAGGAGTCCAGCCCCCATGGGAAGGGTCATAAATGCAGGCCGATGGGAACAGCCACCATCCCCCACAGAACCGGGTGAGAGGGTTTGTGGAGCCAGGCTGGGCCCCCGCTGCAGGCCGTGGTTCCCGTGGACTGAGGAGCCCTGGGCCTTGACCTGCGTCTTCTTCTCCTCCCAGGAGATGTGCCCTGGGACCTGGAGAGCCCTCCCGTGTGCCTGACAGTGGGGCCAGGGCCCATCCGCACCCTGCTGAGCCTGGAGGACGCCGTGTGGGCCAGCTGTGGGCCTCGGGTCACGGTCCTGGACGCCACCAGCTTGCAGACTCAGGTACTGGGCACACCCTTGCTGACCCTCTGACCTTCTCGCTGGCATGGCTCTCAGCTCCTATCTGTGTCTCAGGGATTGGTTTGTCAGGAAGCAGGGAGACCCACAATCCCTGCTGGGCCCTGCCCTCTGCCCCCACACAGGCATCCCCAAGGCTGCCGTGAGGGGAAGGTCCTGACTACACTGGGCCATGATCTACATCCTGAGTTGTGGCTCTTGCTGCCAGTGGAGGTGCCTGTTCTCGTTCTGGTGCCCGCGACCCAGCTGTGCTGAGGGGACAGCCGGTGTGGGCACAGCCATCCTGGAGGCCGGAGGCAGAATGGGCCTGAGAGATGTTTCCGGAAGGATCTTCCCAGGAAGGGTCCATCGGACCGGGAAGCCCCAGGCCTGAAGGAGCAGAGAAGTTGGCTGTGGATTGTTGGGGAGGGGTATGGGCAGCAGGGCCTGAGGATCTGGGGAAAGCTGGGTGCCACTCGGCCCCTCTCAGGGCCACAGGGCTTTTTGGAGGGGGTGGAAGTGGGAGGCACCCCTCCCTGTCCTGGCTGTGCCCCACTCGGGTCTGCTGGGCATCCCTCCATCGAGGGGTGTGGTTTGCCAGCACCTGCTTCAGATGGGACCCTGGCTCTGCCCTGCCAATCTGTCCGCCCTTGGACAAGGCACCGAGCCTTCCTGGGCCTGTCACTTCATCTGTAAAATGGGGAGATGGTGTAGAGCTACCTAAGGAGTGAGTGAGAATGTTTATGTAAAGGGACTGTTTCACACAGTGCCTGACACAAAGTAAGTGTCGGATGAACACTAGTTATCACTGTACTTGTTTGCCGAACTGAAATCCTCGTCGCCACATTATGTGGCTTATGTGGAAAATCACGCTGCTTCCTGAGAGTCCGTGTTGGTGGGCGTGTGTCCGTATTGCATTGTGGGTCCGCCATCCTCTCCCTTCACTGCCAGGGATGCTTCCTCCTGCTGACAGCTGCCTCGGCGCGGGAGACAGATGGACCAAGGGAAGCACAGGGGCCTGGGCCGGGCCCTGCCCACCTCTCCTCCGATTCTGCCCCTCACCAGCCACGGTGCTGTCCTGCCCAGGCCCTGCACCTCAGCTCTGCCCTGCCGCCCCTGTCGCCAGGCGGACACAAGGCTGCAGCTCGAGGCTGGGGTGATTTAAGACTAGTTCTGGGTCCGCTACTCTTCGAAAGGGATCAATATGGCCTTTCACCTGCTTTGCACACAATGGAAGGTGTTGGAAAGTGCTGGGTGGGGGAGGCGGATGGAGGAGGGGGTGGGGAGGGAGGCTTCCCAGCGGGGCCAGCGGGAGCACGCGCCTGGTCTGCCGCCAGGGAAATGGCAAAGTTTGTGTGGGCAGCTCGCCTTCAGCACACACGATCCTCGGGCACAGTAACGAGGTGATGGCCATGCATGTTTAATACAGCCGCGCTCCGCTGCTGCTTGCAATAGAGAGGGAGCCTCCGCCCTCGCGCCCCGGCTTGGAAAACAGCTTGGTCTGGGGCTGCTAATGGCCTCCCCATCTGCATGGCTGCTCCACGTTGGTCTGGGCTCCACGTTCGTCTCATCTCGTTTTGGTGCCTCGCACGGCCAGCCGGGCTCGGAGGAGGGGGCTGGAGATGGCGCTGCTGTCTGGGCTGCTGTGGCCTCGTGCGGGTGCCGCGGACTCAGCACCTGCAGGAAAGGGCCCTTGTGTGAGCTTTTCAGCCAAATGCCTCACTTTAGAGAGAGGGCATCGCTTACCAGCCGCCCCCCCCCCCCCCCCCCCCCCCCCCCATGGCTCCCGAAAACCCGTTCTGAGGATTTGAGATACTTAATGCTGTTCAGGGCTCCAAGCCCAGAGGAGTATATTGTTCACCAAGGCTGTGGCTCTGGCCCAAATTCCAAAGCATAAGGGGGTTCATCTAGGCCAGTGGTTCTCAACCTTCTGGCCCTTTAAATACAGTTCCTCATGTTGTGACCCAACCATAAGATTATTGTCGTTGCTACTTCATAACTGTACTGTTGCTACTGTTATGAATCATAATGTAAATATCTGATATGCAGGATGGTCTTAGGCGACCCCTGTGAAAGGGTCGTTTGACCGCCAAAGGGGTCGCGACCCACAGGTTGAGAACCGCTGATCTAGGGAGTATGCTAACTCAAAGGAGTTCTCCCTGGCTTCTCTCATCCCCAGGAAGTAATAGCAACCAACACATATTGAGAACTTAATGTGGACCATTTATGGGTTTCAGGACTTTGCATAGATTAACTTATTTCATCCCCGAATCCCTCTCTGAGATTAGCACTCTTATTACTCCCACTTTACAGACGAGGAGACAGAGGCACAGAGAGGTTAAGTGGCTGGCCCAAGGTCACACGGCTAGAGGGAGGCTGAGCTAGGATCTGAGCGCAGGCCCCCACACCCGAGTCTGCTCTTGACCTTCGTGCCGGCCGCCCTGGAAGGCGAAAGGCTCCGTCTCCTTTGGGCTGCACTGTCCCCTGCAGTTTCTGTCCCATCCTACGTGCCCTCTCGGGAACTCTCATTTGTTCACACACCTGCTTTTTCCACCAACACGTCTTCGGGGCCCAGGATTGCTCACGTAGCTCACATAGCAGGTGCACTGGAAAGGGTCGTGGAGGACAGACAGGTGGTGTCCTGCCTTCCCGGCCCTCATGGAGGGTGCTGGACGGATGGACACAAGGAAGACCCGGTGTCGGCTCCCTGGGAGCTCAGGGTCAGCCAGTAGGAGGCCCATTGGGAACCCAGGGGAGGTGGGTGCCAGATGCAGCCAGAGGAGGGACGGGAGCAGGGAAGGTTCTTGGAGGGCGGGATCCCTGAGGAGGCTGGGCTCTGAGAGGTGAAGGGAGAGAGGAGGCAGGAGGATGCAGAGAGAGCCCCATGAGCCAAGGCCAAGCCAAAGACACCCCGGTGTGTGTGGGCCCCGGAGTGGTGTGGATGGCTCCCCGGGAGGCCTCCAAGACGGGCCGCCCGGGCTGTCTCCATTAGTCCCACTTGGCCCCCGCTGGCTGCCCCTGACCTTGCCGAGCCCGTCCCCCGGGGAGCAGCGCCCGCAGTCTGTCTCAGGGTGTGACGCTTGTTCAGCTCCTTGATCCCAGTGGAGGCAGCAGTGAGGCTGTTAAATAGTAATGCAGCTTGCCAGGGCCTGTGTCAACACCGCATCCCCCGCGTTCATTATCTCCATCGGCGGCCACCTTCAAAGTCTGATCCAGTTGTCTGGAGTTCATTTTAACCGATCGCTGGAGGGGACAACCAGCGGTGGGATGATGGTTGCATCTCAATTAAAAAAAAACTTATTGGGGACAGGCGGAGAGGAGGCCTGTGGTGTACGGGGTGTGCTCTGCGAGTGGGGGCGATCTGGGCACCGGGCAAGGCTTGCTCCCCGACACGGCGTGGGCTGGGGTCTCCGTCACCCCTGCTCATAGGAGGTGGCAGTGGCGGCAGGGATGGGGGGTGGAGACAGGGCTGGGTTCTATGTGATTGGAGTGTCATGTCGCTGCGGAGACCAGCTGGGCCCATGTTGTAGATGGGGAGGTGAGTCAGAAGGCAGGCCTTCTACCTGTAGTCGGTGGCCCCCGCTCCCCAGCCACGCTGACCCCTTGTTGGTCTCTGAACATATCAAGCTCCTTCCCACCACCAGGCCTTTGCCTCTGCTGTTCCCCTGCCTGGAACACCATTCCCTCAGCTTCCCTAGGGCAGCTCCTCCTCCTCACGCCGGTCTCAGCTCAGCCGCCACCTCCTGGGTGGGACCCGCCCTGATGGCTCCATCAGAGTCTCCTCTGCCCGTCACAGTTTTGACACAGTTCCTGCCTTTACTGTCATCAGAGCGTTGACCATGGTCTGAAATTACCTCCTGACCAGGGTCCGTCGGCCCTCGCTGGGCTGTCCACGGAAGAGCACAGGGCCTGGCCTGTCTGGTTTGCTGGGTCCCAGGGCCGGGCCCCGCCCCGCCTCTCGGCCAGTGATGGTGGGAGAAGGTGGGATGCCCTGCCTGTGTGGGGCAGGCCCCAGGGGGGCTGGTGGGAGTGTGCCGTGACCCGTGACCATTCCTTCTGGGTGGAAGGTTGACAATCGGCGGGAGGAGGCTCAGGGGGCGCTGGCCGCTGGAGAAGTGTCCTGGGAGGACGTGTGCCTTCCAGGAAGCGGGACAGAGGGGCCACACCTGTAGAAGGCGGAAGGAATTTGGTAAAGGGCTGGTCAGAGGGTCTTGTGCCCAGGAGGGTGGGTCCTGCTCCGGGGCAGGTGGGACATATGTGGGCGGGACAGCTGGGTCACCCCGAGGTCTCTGCTCTGACCTGCCAGCCTTGAGACGCTTCCGTGGCAATCCCTTCCCAGAGTCCCCTCGGGGCTCCTGGTCCTGCCTGGGAAGGGCCGGAACACAGGCAAGTCGTGCCCCGTTTGGGGACCAGACCTGACTTCCGCCCACAGGGTTGTGGTGAGGGGTAATAGGGTCAACCCTCTCCCATAAGACCCTGGCTCCCCCACCCTCGGAGAAGCCTGTGCAGACCACCCCCCCTCCACATACCCCGGCTCCCCCACCCTCGGAGAAGCCTGTGCAGACCACCACCCCCCTCCACATACCCCGGCTCCCCACCCTGGCAGGACATGCCTGGCGCATAGTAGGTGCTCACTGAGGGGCTGTGAAGGACAGAGGGCTTTTACCTTAGGGAAATGGGCTCCATCTGGGGGAGTGTGTGTGTAGGGGGTGGGGGGGTGTCCGCTAAGTGTGGAAGGGAGATGTGGGCAGAGCAGGGGTCTGAGGGCTTGATTTTAACTGCTTTCCGGGCTGGCGGACACATGCCTCCCAGTGGCTCCCGGGCACAGATACCTGCTGTCACTGAGCTCATCAGATGAGAAACTCCTCCGGGTTCCTGGGCACTAGCGGCCCTCAGACTTCCCCCTGCCCACCCCCAGGGACACGCCTTCCCCACCCTTAATTTTCACGTTTAGTGCCCAAACTTAGTTTGCATGTATTAGCTGTTGTAAATCTATCATAACAGTG